AACGACCCTATTATCCTAATTGTAAGTGTCCCATAAATATATTAATTTACTTAAACCTACTAAAAATACTAACTTTACTGTTTAGTATACTACACACCATATAAAAATCATTATCTTAGTACGAATTTTCTGTTCTGTTAGGAATTTTACTTTTAGTTCAAATCAAAAGTTAAGTTTCTGAACTCTATTCTATGAATTTAGAATACAAATAGACTACAAAAAGAGCAAAAAACTATAACAATACATAGTTTTTCTAAAAATTAAAAGATCGCTTCTTTTAATAGAATTATTTGTAAAAAAAATCTATTCTATGAGTTTAGAATATAGAAAGTTGAAAAACAATAACAATAGATGTCCTAAAAATTATAAAATTACTTCTACTAATAATAAATATATTAGTAATAATATTTATTTGCAATTTTCCAATATAAAGCAATTTTCCAATATGAAGCAAACGCTCGATCGTTATTTTCAATTTTACCTATTAATAATTGAATAATAATCTCATTATGCTAAACGACTTATATATGATTTAAATGGTTTAAAGCACACACGTTTTCTAGGTAATCATATTAGCAGGTACTGATTTTTTGTGCTTTTCCATTTATTAAATTTCCATGGTGGACGAGGGCTCAGCCGGGAAGTTTTTGCTTACTAGTTTAAATGATTAAATATTATCAAAGATTACGTATTTAGTGTCAGTATTTTCTTATAGCAGATATGCTTGATATTTTACAAAATGATTATTAAGTTTCTTGAGTAATTACAGATTTCAGTATTTGAGAAAAATCAATTGGAAACCGCAATATTTAAATTTAAGTGAAAGCAAAAACTATTTTCCAAATAAACAGTTAAAAATTTTATCCAAATATCTAAATCTGAATTCCGATTGATTAACTCAATTATTACACCTATCAGGAAGTTTTAGCAAAGAACTTAAAGCAAAATGCCACTGTCAACTTGTTGATAGTTAATTTATAGTTTATCCTGTGGAATTATTTCATAGTGTCAAAGTGTTGACTTGCGTATCTATTTTATATATCTGACGATATATAAAACGCGACGCATGATTTTTTCCAATTTACTTCTCGTTGGCATTTACAACACATCGACGACCTAAGCTGACCCCGTTTGATAAGAGGCAAAACACGCCACTTTGATGATCAGGATTTATTTCATACGTTTTTGTGCGTCTGATATGAACTTTTCACAAAAAAATATTATTCGATGCATATTTGGTCAGAAATTGAATCAATTTAAGGTAACGCAGACAGAAAACAAATTCGTCAGTTTTAGCAAAAAACATCGGTTGCGTCAAATATAAATTACTTGTTGGCACTAAATTGTATTAGCTTATTCATATCCTAATTAACTTCCCGTAAATTTTGGCATACCTCAGAAAAATTGTATGTGCGTGTGTCTATGTGTGGAGACAATTTTTCGTCGACGATTTCGGGCGTATGGATGAACTGATTTAAAAAATTCCTATTGATAGAAAGATTAGTTTTTGGCAACGGCAGGTCCAGCCGTTACGGAGATACGAAGCAACGAGTGCAGAAATAGAAAATAGAAATAAAGTTTTTGAGAGAACGAGGTATCCGTTTGAATTATCAAAAAAATATTTTGCTTGCGTTGGCAAAACAATTGTTTTCGGAAATTCCAATTCCAAAAAAAAAATTGTATATCGAAAATAATTCCGATTTTAATTTTAACTCTGGCTTAAACTCTGAAGCTCACTTATATACTTCAAATAATTTTAACTTTGTAATTCTGTTTATATAATTTCTATAAGAAAATTTTACAGTATTTATAATAATCAATTTGAAAACATTTAATATTCCTCGATTTCATTACGGTCCGGAAAGTTCCAGCAATTTGCCTCAAGACACGATGCCATACAACACTAGTTTAGAAGTTAAAGAATTGTGAAAAACAAGTAGAACGGCAAGTAATGGTATTCACTTGTAAATTTGTATCAATACATATTTATTCGATTTGATGCCGAAAGTAAATTTCTGATGAATAAACAAATATATATGGCTACCTAATTTATAAATGTGTTATGCAATATCAGCGATTTCACATTTCGCTACCATTGCACATAGTTTTGGAAGTGTTATCACAATTTTCAAAATATGTGGCGGATACAGCCATTGATCATTGAACTAATTAATTACACTATAAATGATAAATGTCATAATGCTCTAAAATTTTAATAAAAAACTACAGAAATATATATTTATTGCAAAAAACGGTGTGGATGAAAATAATTTTGAAAAAAAGAAGATAATTTATTTAACAAGGAAAAAATTGGAAAAATATATTACTTCACTGTTAATTAATTCATCCTAATATCCCAAATACTTCAGTAAAAGTTTGCTGATCAATACCTGAAAACTTGTTGAAAGACCATATCTCATACAAATTTTGTAAGTTACTCATAAGTGTGTGTATGGTAATTGATAGTAATTTCAGAAAGAAATAACTAAATTTAATAATTAAAGATCACTAAAAAATATTCAATAATTACAAAATTTAATAATCCTGAACAAACACTTTGAGAATTATTAATAAATTATATGAAATTTTTCTTTTATTAATTTGTGCACTAATAGAATATAAAAAAAAACTGTTTTTTTTTCGTCCTATAAAATTACTTCTTGGAATTTAATAAGAGTTAAATATTCATGAAATCAGCATGATCTGCACCCGCATTCTTTCTTATCTGAATAAGATCTTTTTTCGTATTTTAATTATGCAGGATAGTCGAATTTAAGTCACACTAGACATCAAAATTTTAAAAGTTTCGCTAATAATTTAATACAATCTACTATGACCCCGAAACGTATAGGCTATAGGGTTATAAGATACAGTATTAATAAAGTATATACTTAACCGTATAAAACTGTTTACCGTTTATTTTATACGCTCACCGTAGGCAGAATATTGGCTCAATTAAAAAAAAAACGAAAATAAAATTTGACCTATCTACAATGCTACAATGCATACAATGTTAAAGGTAAAAAAAATTAAGGCCCGAAAAATGCTCCGAACTGAGCTACCTTGTAAAAAATGGTTTCTAAAGTTGGTTTGGGGTCCAGTAGATTCCTGGTTACGAGAAGGGTTAAATACTCATATACTAATACTCCAATTTATTATATCTAAAGTTCTTTAGAATGTTATAATAAATGCTTTAAAACATTACACAGAAACAATGAGAAAATTTTACTTACTTTATACTTTTCAAAGCCCCTTCAGGTGCTCCTCGCTTAAATATCTTATACGACAACATTTTGATAAAGTTCGGCTAGTCTCCAGTAGAAATTATAAAAAAAAAATTAGGAATGTCACAAACTTTGAAACTCTCATCTATTAAAATTTTGAATTTGAAACCACTTTTTACTGTGAACGTCATTATATAGACGTTATTTTCACTTCTCACTCATATTGTAGAAATTTTCTTCACATTTTGTTTCTTGGATTATATTTATATTGTAGATACAATTGTTCTATCTGTAAAAAATGAAAATACATGTACATTATTTTAGAAAATAAGTAACAATGAAAACGTACATCAGCAAAACAGACCGAAACTTGCGTATCATGATATAAATTACAGTAATTCGTCCACGTGGTTTATAATAGAAGAGGGGTTCACAAACATTTGCTGGAGCTTTATATATATATATATATATATATATTAGTGATGTGCCGACTCGAAAAATTCCCGATTCGAATGATTCGAATCAGAAAAAAACCTGATTCGAATCATGATTCGAATCAACTCGAATCAAGTATATATATGGACAAAAAAATTCATGGATGTATTAATTTAGTAAAAGTGATCCAAATTTATAATCAAAATTGTCAGTTTAACCAATATAACCGACAAAGTAGAAATTGTAATCATAAATTACTATCAAAAAGTATATTTTGAAAATTATTAAAAATGATATAATTTTGAAGACGGCTGAAACATATCTTCAAATTAATTTACCATAATAGATTACCAAACAATTGTGCATCACTAAAGTATATAAAATAATATTTGGAATCATGGGTCGATTGTTTATTTTACTATGTAATCAGTAAAGGATCGCATCTAAACTGAGAGCTGAAAGTTAATTAATGTGAATTTGCCATTACTTACATAATTAGAAGTTTAACATATTATTTACTGACTTTCTTGGTGTTTAGTAATTGTTTCAAAGAGAATTATATTGAAAGATTCCCGAAACTCGTTTCATAATTTCGAGTGGTTTATTCTGATAACATTTAAGATCTAAAACACTTACGTTAAAATTGGGTATTGATATTTCAAGAACAAAATCGCTCTCAGCTCTCCGTAAATAAATAAACACGCAAGAACGACGACGCATTGTATCGCCCATACGGTTAACTCATATCGCTCGAACGGCTTGAAGTCGGGATGATTCGAATCAGAATTCGGAATAACTCATAACGCCGCCGCTTGATTCGGTTTGACTCATATGAAGTCGGAACAAACTCATAACGCCGCTTGATTCGGTTTGGCTCTGAAGTCGAACAAACTCACAATATCTCGCTTGATTCGGTTTGTGTGATGAAGTCGGAACAACTCATATCGCCGCTTGATTCGAGTTGGCTCATATGAAGTCGGAAACAACTCATATCGCCGCTTGATTCGGTTTGACTCATGAAGTCGGAATAACATATCGCCGCTTGATTCGGTTTGAGCCGTATGAAGTCGAATGATATAGTTAGTCGATGAATGCGATTATGGTCTATAAGACGATTGGAGTCGGCCGATACATTTAAGCATATTAAAGTCGGGTGGCTCGCATGATTTAATTCATTATTTATTTTTTATATTTATGATATTTATTTTTTATATTATAATATTGAATTAAATTAAA